GCTGGGGACAGGAACCCAGCTAAAGCTCTGTTACCTTTCACAAACAGGAAATAAAGAGACAAATTCCCAGGCTTAGGTCTTAAGGTTGTGTTCACAGGTTGATCTCACTTTTCAATGGTTAAAACTGGTGTCAATTCTTAGAAATGGCCAGCTGTTGGCCGGGAGAAAAATTCCCATCAGCCTCCAGCAGTTTTAACTTCCTTAGAGAAACAAAGTTTCTCTTTGTTTTCTTAAATGCAAATCTATCACAGCATACTAATGTCAATGCTTATAATCAATAGCTACAATTAAGTTAGTAGAATGTTTTAAATTTAATCTTAGAGCTGTTGAACTAAATATAAAAAGTGATCAAAAGAGGTAGTCTCACTCCTGAAAATGTGAAGAAAGTTTCAACAGCTCCATAGGCTTTCCCCCAGTTAGTAGATAGTGGTATGCTATTGTAATATTTCTTCCTCTTCAAATGCATGTTTGTGATGGAATGATCACACTTCTTTGTATTTTGTGCAAAATACAAAGTTCCTTGATCTTCATAACTCCCACTGGTCTTTTTCCTGAATTGCCATTGTTGGACTCCCCAGTGAAGTTTGGTGGGAGGTTTCTGTTCTAGAGTAATGGTTTGCAGTAACCATGCAACAGCACAACTATGAATTATCTGAATGGTCTGATGATTCTTGAGTGCCTAGCAGAAACATTTCAACCAGCATTTTCACTAGATGTGTGAAAACTTTAGCCTCAAAATTTATTGCTCAACTTAAAGTGACTCAGTATTCAATACTCTATTTAGGTCTGTTTAAATATAATACCTACAGAAAAAAACTATAGGTGACAGCCCTATAGATAATGGAAACAAATTCTGAGTGTTTCTACTTAAAAGTATTCAAAATGAGTACATGAAACCATCAAAACCTCTATCTCTGTGGTGGGTGGGTGGTGCTTGAATGCTGTATGTACATAGACAATGATGTGAACTCAAAGGCTTAGCACTTTCCTTAATCATCAGTTTGTCAGATTTGGTGCAAGACCTGGCATCTGTGGTCATTATCTTCACTCCTTGCCTTTTTAAGTAATTTGTTAAAGTTTTCTTTTAATCACCAGTGCCAGTACTCTTGTGGAGCTGTCCCTGTGTTTTCTGCATTCCAATATGCCTCTCTGTTGTTTGAATTTCAGCAAAATCTTGATCTTTGATCTACAAGGGCAACATTTCTCCTGTAATTATCATCAAGAATAGTTTTGCATTTCTCTGTTAAGGTGTCTCAGAGGATTAATTCTGCCTGAGTTGTATCCTCTGCTTGTCTTTTCTGGAACCAGCTGTTGCTAGGAGTGCCTCCTTATGGGGATATGTACTTTATTTTCACCTATAGATATTATGCTTTTTTATGTATTTTTAGAATTAAGTTATTTAAATTTATTGAGTGACTGCTTGGTTTTGTAATTTATTTAATTCTGTATTAGCAGATATCCCTGATTAATTTTTGTCCCCCCTTCTCGCCTATTTGTTATGAGAACTATGAAATACTTTCCTAATTTGGAAAAGAAGGTTAGCATCCATAGAAACCAAAATAGTTGATCATACTTAATTTTTGTGTCATTGTTTTGTAGGATAAGTCTCGGAGCCTTGCTGTACACGCTGCACAGGCGCTGTTGAGTGGAGGTGGTGATGTTATAGTGGCTCATGTAGGTTCCCATCTCACTGTTGCCCATATGTCAGTGCTGACAAACCACAGCACGTCCAAAATTTTTGTTTGTGGTGTGAAATCTTCAGCAAAAGAAGAAGAACTGAAGAACAGTTTCAGTCATATGGGATGTGAAAGTAGGTGCTAAAGGAGTTGGTATTCAAAAAGTATTGTAATACAGATGTGTGTAATATCTGTAATTATGGACTTATTCTATCAGAACCTCCTATTTGGAGGCTTGGGCAGTAACAACTTTTTTGTCACAAGGTCAGCTGATAGCTCTTCAGCTACAGACAATTGCAGTCTAACAATATCATAAATGCAAGCTCCTGAAACATTGGTGATTTTTTCCATAGAAGTAGCTACTACGTACCAGTTGGTGTAGCTGGTAGCTGGGAACTTTCTGGTGTTTTGCCTGCTGCTTTCAGTCTGATTTCCAGATGTTTGAGTGCGTTAACCCAAAACCAATGTACTTGTTCAGTTTACCTGGAGGACACAATCAGGACAGAATGCAACAAGATTGCAACCCCATTAACTGTCTTTTCAGTGGAAAATGCAGCCCTTCAATCTGTTTGAAATCCATAGCCCATATTTTGGAGGATCTGAATCAAGCATGTTCTAGCTCTGTTGAATTCTGTGTAATACTACAGTCTCTTCACCTGTATCACCTGTAGGCAGGCCTGCTTGCAGTCTGTAAGTGTTGAGTTTTCACTATTTTTCAGATATTTGGTTGTTACAGGAAGACTTTACTGAGCTTAAACCAACAGACCCAAGATTTGAAAAGGCAAAAGTTATTTTGCTGCTACCACAATGCTCTGAACTGGGTGCTGGCAATCCAATGGAGCTTATTTTAAGTGAACATAGAGGTAACTTAATTAAAATAATATCTAGCTCACGCTTTCTGGTAGAAATAGAACCAAGTATTGTGGTCTAGACAGTGTGGGTGCTTCAGTAAATTGTATAATTCCATTAAAGAAACCTTCCTTATTTTAATTACTATAAAACATATAAAGTAACTTGCATAATTCTGTGACTGCTTCAGGTTGATAGTATGAAAGTTTGAGGGTAATTCTGGGGAGCAGAGTGTGTATAGCTTTTTTTAAGTAAAAAGACTATTGGCAGAAAATTTATTTCAAGATACCAACATGTATATAATTTTCTGTTGGATTACATTCCTTTATGGCCTATTTGTGTAAGTTGTGTCACTACAATTTTCATTAACTACAAGCAAGTAAGAGGTACCAGTAATTACAGGTAAAGAAGTAAAGCAAATAAATCAGGCATTCCTTGGTATTCTAATTTGTAAAACCTATCTTCCCACTGCGCCAGTAACAACCAGGTCTGCTTCTGCAAACAACTGAATTTTCAGACACTAATACAAATTGCAAGACTAAATTTACTACTCTCTGCTTTTAGATGCAGGATTGCTTCAAGACCTTTTCCAGGGATTTGTGTCTGAGGATAAACTCAGAATTCTTGCTGAGACGCAGCTTAATGAGTTGGTTCATGCACTGAAATGTAAGTGTGCTAATTTCCCAATTTCTGGGAAGACTCTGCACTATCAATTCCATTGTATTATCACCAGTTTTAATATAGTTAAAAATACACCAATTACTCTATTAATTGACAATAAGCATGTAACCAAACCCCCTGAATAATGATTTCCTCCAGTCTGAAGACGTTTCTGTGTCCTAGTGTCCTCCACACATTAATACAAGACTCTTCTATATTGTGTAGAGAACTAGATTATGGCTTAGTTATACTCTGCTTTGGAAATTATGCAAATGTAGTCTCCCTCTGTCTGCATGCTGCCACTTTCTTCCTCTCTCCTTTGGTAGCTGTGTGAAAAAACTGGAGACAGCTTTGACTTTGCTGAAATCTGCAAATATTTGAAAATACTTCAATTATTTTGAAACACTAGTGATCAGGAGGTGAAAGTGACATAATTTTAATGATGCTTTTAATCCTTACCAAACCACTGTCTATATGAAGAATCTGAAGAGTAAAAAAAGTTGTGCTTTGTTTTGTAGTTAACAAAGTACAAGCTATTGTTTACTGCACTTGTTCAATTTACCCAGAAGAAAATGAACTTGTAGTGAGAAAAGCACTGGAATCTGGAGTGGAGGGAGATAAAGTACGACACAGGTACAGAATTTCGCTTTGGCCTATCAAATTTGAATTAATTTCTGCATCATTTGTCAGGGTCATTGAAGGGATTCCTGGTGAACAGTAACTTATATACATCAATAAAATATTACCACTGTGGTTTTTTTTCCATTGAATAAGCAGATATAAAATCAAAAATCTGTATCATAAGACATAAGAGTTTTATTTAGTAATGCGAGGAGGATGTGAGCCTTGTAGCCTGTTTTATCAAGTTCCAAGGAACACAGAAAAAAATCCAGATCATGGTGAGAACTTGGAAACAAAGTTTTGCAGACTTTCCATTAAAAGTGAACTAACCAGCCAAATTAGGATATTACTTTCAAATATTGAATACATTTCTCTGTAACCATCTTTGAATAAAGCTCTGTTGCCAGAGGGTTAGTGGAGCATTAAGGAGTAGGACTCTTATCTTACAGTCCCCAGCGAAGAGGAGGGGGTTATAATTACAAAAGGACATTTTGATAGTATTTTTCTGTACTGAGACAGCTTAATACTAGTTTGCCAGGCTTATGAGCCATGTCCTTGAGACTGCTTTATAACAGCCAGGCATTTCTGGAATACAAGGAGAACAGGAGAAGAGGCTAGTTCTTCCCTCCCCACCGATGCACTGCAAAACTGTAAAACTGGAGAAAGATACCTCAATTAGAACAAATAGAAAATTTTCCTAACCTATGATTTTTAGCTTAGATATTTATTATGAGCACATATAACTCAAAGCCAACACCTCTACAATTTCTGCAAGCTGCTTAGTGTTTTCAGACCACTCCCCAACTTCAGGGACAACTTGATAAATCAATAATTACACACCTGATAAAGAACATAGTTTTTCTGATTATGTATTTATTAACTGGTGATTAATATACTTAATAATTGGGAAAAAAGGGGGAATTACTGAAAAAATGGAAAAAACCCACTTAATTCTAAAAAGATGAATTCTCATGCCTTTCTTGAATTGCAGTTTTTTAGAATTATAATAAAGCTATGTTATTGAAAGACATAATTTGAAAATTACTTTTAATGTATCCTTGTTTATTTCCTTTTATATTCTTAAATATTATTTTCTGGTCTTCCATTTCTTTTTTACAGGCTTATTCCTTCTGTTTTTTCTACAAGTTCCAATTCAGAGTCTTCCACTGAAATGTTTTTCAAAATGGAGCCATCAGAAATTTCCAGTGGTTGCTTCCTGGCTGTTATAGAGAGAGAGGTAAGCTATGAAAATAACCATTTAAAATCACAGGAGATGAGTACTGCAATTTTCTACAGAAGAATAAACAAAATGAAACATTTTAAATAAAATTTCTGTCTGCTCTTCAGCTGTCTTAAGACCAAAAGACAGGTGAGCAGTTGAAATGTGCTACTTCTGGAGTTTTATGCTGAGCACAGTTTTAAAAGATGTGCCTGTTCTTCTGGAGCTGTTCCTGATCAGAGCAGGCCTTTGATCCAAGTCAGTGCCAGCAACATCCAGAGGAACTATTATCACACTGTATCACAGTTATCACACTTTGGAATGACATATACAGCTTGATTAGATACATGATAAATGGTGTCTAGTATTGTATTTGTATCTATTTGTATTTGTTATATGTGTCACCAAGATTTTCCAGTATCCACGCAGTTGAAATCTTAATCCCTATGCAGTTGAAATCTTAATCCCTATGGGTGACACTATTATTATTTGAATAAAATAAGTATGAACATGTTTCCTTCCCAAACTAAGGCGTATGCAAATCTGGCTTGAAAGGCAGGGGGCTTTTGCTGAGTAAACAGAAAAGTCTTGGCATGATTCCTGAGGAAAGGCCTTAAAGGGCTAGTTTGCATCTCTGAGCATCAACATGTTCCTCTTGTCTCTAAGAAAAACACACATTTTTTTCCCCACCAAAAGTAGAAGGGCTGTGAGGAAGAACTAATCAGAATTTCATTGCAGATTAAAGATAGGAGATCTTACTTGGTTATTTGTAGCATTTTGCGTCATACTGCAATTACAGTGCTTGAAAGAAGCTTGCCTCTTGGGAGAACATAGATTCTATTAAGAGTAAGAGAATTACATATGAAAAACCTTTCAAGTTACCTATTACTGACCTCTTTCTTTACAATATTAAATATTTTTAACTTGGTCTGAGTTTTATTAATCATGGTATGTGCATCTCTCTACCATATTGTCTCTCTCCAGAGAAACAAACACTTTTGTTGTTTCTAATACAAAGAAGCAATTGCTCCAATGGCCAATTTTAAGGTGATTCAGGATATGAACATTTTCCACAATGTAGAAAACATGTACTTATAATTGAAACTGAAATTCCTCCTTTACAGAAACCTTCTTCTTAGCTAGCTATAAATTGTTTCTCTTCCATCACTATATATTTGGATGTTGACCTGGTTCTTAGTTTAAGAGCTCCTTACTTATTATCAATTACTTAGTATTATGAGCAAGAACTTTCATTACAGTGAAAATTATTAATGTTTAATATTACTGATACTTGTGTATTTTAGTAACTATTTCTGATACACACACACACAGAGAAGGAATGGATATGTATGTTCTTACAGACACATTACAGAGCAGGTCAGTGTGGGAGTGTGTTGGTTTTGGCTCGGGGAGTTAATTTTCCTCCCAGTGACTGGAGTGGGGCTGTGTTTTGGATTGGTGCTGAACACAGGGTTAACAACATGGAGATGGTTTTGTTATTGCTGGGCAGGGCTTACACAGAGCCAAGGCCTTTTCTGTTTTTCATATGGCCACGCTGGTGAGGGGACTGGGGGTGCCTGGGAGGAGACACAGCCAGGACAGGTGACCCAAACTGACCAGAGGGATGTTCCAGACCATGTGACATCATGCTCAGTGTATAAAGCAGGGGAAAGGAAGAGGAAGGGAGGACATTAGCAATTATGGCACTTGTCTTCCCAGGGAACCACAGTCTTTATCTTGACCCAGTTCCCTAGCTTTACTCTTCCAGTTCCTTCCCAGATCCTGCTGGTGCGGGAGTGAGCGAGTGGCTGTGTGGGGTTTGGTGACCAGCTGAGGTTAAACACAAGTCAGACACACATATTACAGAGCCCAGAATTGATTTTCCCCTCTTTGGTCAGTAGAGAGGAAGGCCTCTGAAGAACAAATGCTCCAGTACCTCTTTACACAAGACAAGTTCTTAATTCTGTGAATAAACAGTTTGGTTAGCATTTATCACATGTGACTTAAGTCCTTCTGCTAGATTCTGCTGTCTTTTTCTCATGGAGTAAATACTGAGAAGCTCTGTATTGTTGCTTAGATTCATTTCTGTATTGTGGCTTAGATTCATTATTGTTTCCTGTAAAATTTTCAGAAAGATATTTCCAAAAAAGTGCCTGCTAAAGACCTTTTGGCTTCTGCTACAGCGAAAGAACTACTAGATGGCATTGTTGAAGAAAAACCAAAAGAAGAGGTGAAAAAGCAGAAAGTAAAACGTAAACGTAAGGCTGCTGCTAGTGATAATAAGCCAAAAGCTGCAAAACTCCTTCACCGCCAAACTGGAGCTAATGTTAAGGCTGAAGTTCCCGTGTCTAAAGCAGCCAGTAAGATAAAAGAAAAGCATGAGCGCCTGAAAAAAGCGGCCAGTGGCGTACAAGAAAAGCATATGCACCAAAATAAAGCAGCCAGTAACACACCAGAAAAGAAAGTGCACAAAAAAAAAACATCCAGTAACACACCAGAAAAGAAAGTGCACAAAAAAAAAGCAGCCACTAACACACCGCAGAAGAATGTGCAGCAAACAAAAGTAGCCAGTAACACACCACAAAAGAAAGTGCACCAGAAAAAAGCAGTCAGTAACATACAAGAAAAGAATGCGCGCCAAACAAAAGCAGCCAGTAACGTATCCACGTCTAAAGCAGCCAGTAACACACCGCAAAAGAAGGTGCCCTGAACAGACAGCTGTGTTGGGCTGAAGAGATCTGTGAACCCTGATTCACTCACAGCCCCACTGGAAGTGCCGAAGGCCACATCTCATCTGTCATCTCTGCGCAGGGCGCATGAGACAGACACCTGCTCAAAAGGCACGTGCAGAACAGAACAGGGTTGTACTGAAGGCCCCAACAGTCACTTGGCCTCCACTGACAACACCATATGAAAGGTTGTAATGAAACAAAGCCAGGGTATTAACTTAACCTTGCTTTCATGGCCAGACTGGAGCACAGGGTCCAAGTGGTTGGATATTTCCACCACCCTGCTCAAAAACGGTCAAGCCAACTTGGCTACATGAACCTTTCAGACTCAGCCCTCCCTTTGTAAAGAAGGTAAAAATTCCTGTATATTAATCAATACTCTTACATTACAGTATATCTTTATGCAGAGATAATTTGGCCTTGGGAAAGATATATTATAGGCTATTTATGTAGAAATATCCATGTTAGATAGTAACTTTTAATCCAGTAATCACACTAAAGTGAATGGAGCTCAGCTGCCTAAGATAACTGATAGACTGTTGGGGGAAGTGAAGTGAAAAAACTATAGCCTCTTGCTATACACTTTAAAGTGACAAGTTAAATCATACATACAACCCCCCACATGATTTAAACCTGTACTAGTAATCAGTTTCAAACTGATGTTTTTAAAGTGAGACTGAATTTTTTAAAGTGGATTTTCTTTACAAGCCCTAGATCCCATTTTTGTGAATTTCCACTTAAAACTGATGCATAGAAAATAAGCCTTGCACAGTAAGCCTGTTAGCTCATTTTTTATTTCTAAAACTAGATGTGAACTTTTGTACACGAAACTGGCTGAGTACATTAAAGGCCCTGCATAGGCTCTCTAGTACGTGTTCTCTTAGTTTCCACTTAAGTGTGAATTGAAATATTAACAGTAAAAAATAGATCAAATATTCTCATGCTAAAAACACTGAACTGTCATCATAATGTTATATCAAACTATGTCATGGTTCATAACTGCTTTTTTTATCAATTTCTTAACATAAACAGTTCTTAATTGAAAAGAGCTGCTACTGTCAAAGTAACATTTTTATAAATGTTACCACTAGTCAGCTGAATAAGGACTGGACAAAGAGTAGCTGCTTGTCTTTGCAAACAGCCATGGGCTTCTAAGCTGCTCCCTTTTGCTAGCAAAGTTAAAATAACTGTAAAATATCTACAATTGTCTTGTAATCTGAGTAGAGGATAAAGGGAGGCACAGAGATACTTTTAACAATAAATATGATTTGTATTTAGAACTTGTAAAAATGAAATAGACACAGCACAGCAATACAGAAAGGCAAAGGTAGCTGTGGCCCAGAAATTTTCCTCTAGGCAACCATTTCAGGTACTTGGCAAGAGTGTTGCCAGGAGCATCACCAATATAGTGTGGAACTTAACCATTTGCCAAATGGGTCTGGATTTAGACCCATTCAGAGAAAATGTTGTAACATCTCTATTTTGTCTTCAAAATAGTCAGTGTCACTGGGTCAGCAGTACCTTTTTAAGAAAAGATGTGAATGATATTACACCAGCAGTGTAGACAGCTGACTCTTGTTCATCTGATAAATATCCTTGCTTCACTGAATCAGTGAAAATTTCTTTTAGCATTTTAATCTGAGCCAGTTGTCCTACTCAAAGACATCCCTCACCTTCTGCATATCCCTGTGAGCAATCCATGCTCCTAACCCGTCCCAGTAACATGGTGAACTCTACTCTTATTTCTGAACAAACTTGTAAGGATATATTCTAGGAGGAGGAGAGATTCTACATGTTGGATACAAGGAAAGGACACTATGGAGACTTTTTTTTTTTTTTTCAATATATGGTTGTTAAATGCTTGTTAAATAAACTTAAGAGATTCTGCAGTTAAAGAATTTTTTTTTTTTTAAATAAAGATCTGTATCATTCATTATTAAAGTTAAAATTACTTGTAAAACAACATGTGTCTAATAATAATAGAATTTCTGGGCTACTTACGTAATATGTGCCTTGATGTTCCACACTTGGCCTCATCTTGCTCTCAAGAATTTGCCTTTTTAACACAGTATGGAGGTTAAACCAGTTAGAATCTTGGTGTCTTACCAAGAATATCAGAGAGTGAATATTTCAACTGCAGGTCAGTAGCTTACTTTGTAAGCATGGAACATCAGATGGCGGCAATATCTGGGACTGACTTCAGATGGCTTGTAGGTAGATGTCTGTAACACTCAATGACTTTTTACAGTAAAACTGTATCTTATGTAACTATTTTTTCTGTAATCCAGTTGTCTGTAATTTTCAACTAGAAACTCTCGATTCAGCTTTCCAGATACAAAACTCTTTATTGTACTGCTATTGCCTCTAAACCACCAGTATGTTTTTCCCTTTCTTCAGCCACCATTTTGAACAAAATAATTTCGCAGTTTCATGGAGCAGTAACAGTTGAGACAATCACTTTATGCAGCTAAATTTATTCTCAGAACAGATTACATTTAAATGTGGAGAAGTGGTCAACAGCAGGGAAAATTGTCCTTTTTGTTGCCAGTTAGGTAATTTTATGTAAAACTGGGCTCTGCTAATTAACAGTGTTTCCTTCTTTCTTAATGCTGTTAAATCAAACCTACACTGGCTGATGGGACAGCACATGTTGTGGCAATGTGTTGATTAATGTGCCCAAGAAAGGAGTAATGCATTTGGGGGTAATGCTGAAATGCTGAGCCCATACTTGCTCTTGAAATGAGAATGTTCTCTTTTCCATGGGTGATGTACTAACAATTTTAGCTTCCATGGTAAGTGATCCATGAAATGCTTGATAAAATTAAGAAATGTAGAACTGTTAGTGACAGAGAACTGGTGATATTCCACAATTTTTGTTCTTCTGCCACTAAAGGGCATAATATTTCTGTTAGGTACCCGTGAGTCTGCACAGGAAGTATATCACTAAACCTCGTTTTTCTGTGAATGGATTCTCTGCCATTCCTATGCTATTTTTATTATTCCCAGTTAACCACCCTGTAGGTGGCCTCCATAGCTTTGCACCTCCCACACTTCCTTGCTCCCCTGTAAATGAAAGTAAATGGCTTAAATAAAACCTACAGCCAGCACTACAGGTTTCAAAAGAAAGGCTTTTATCTATTAGTCATTGACTGAATATAAATCTCCTTGCTTCTGCAAGGGAGCATGTTAATGACATGACTGACTGACATGTGATACCTCTAACTTACTACTTGCATTGAAAAAAATTAAGAAATTAGCTTTGCTTTACATAATTCTTCTACAGACTTCAATAAAAATGTGACTACAAATAATTACAAAGCCTGCCTTTTTTAAGGCAACCTATAGTATACAGAGTGGAGAATATTACAAGAGCACATCCAGTAAAGACAATACATCAACATAATAATGGAGGATATTTCAGTAAAAATAGAATAAATAAAATAAAAATATTTTAAGCTGTATTTACCAGGTTAAGTTAGAATATGGCATCAGACATACAAGGCATAGTGAACATGGCTGCCGGCCTGCAGAATCACTAGGTATTATAAAAAATGCATAGATAACTGAAGGGTTGCTATAACATCAACTAGAACAGTTGCAGTTGCTCAAACACACACACACACATCCCATACATACTTTTTTTGGCCGTGGTAACAAGAGTGTCTGAATATATTGTGAAACAAAAGATTTGCAATAATAGGCTCTGATTCTGCAAACACCTGGGTGTATATTAAATCTCTTGGAGAATACGGAGCTCTACTGAAGCAAAAAGGCCACATATAGTCAGATCATTAAGCACACTACTTCAATATTTGCAAAATCAACAACATTTTGTTAACAGACATAAACCTTTTAAAACATACACTGGTGAGTGATGTACAGCTTTTCAAATACCTTTCTGTCTTCTCCTCAGCCCTGGCTGCAGTTGCACACATTGCTAATGAAAGCTAACTAGATGTTTCAAGCCTTGACAACACGGATGTAGAACCTTTACACTGCTGTTTGCTAAGCGTTGCTTTAGTTAAAGAGAGTCTGGAACTCTCATGGGGAGAATCAGCACTCTGCAGATGCCATGACAAAATTTAATTATACTGTTTAAAATTAATTTATTGCTGTACAACAGTTGCCAATCCCAAATCACAACGTTGTCAGCAGGAACTTTAAAAAGACACTGTCAAAGTATTTAATTTAAAATAAAATAAAATGTGAATCACTAGCACAACGACAAACAAGAAAACTTTCATCTCTTAACTTCACAATCCTACCTAAGGGTATGGTGTTAGCCACCAAAGTTTGAGAGCAGTCATCCTTGGAAATGTTCAAGACCAGGTTGGCCCTGATAGGGGTTTGGAACTAGATGACCTTTGAGGTCTCTTCCAAACCAAACTGTTCTGTGATTCTCTGATAGGAAGTGAGTTTTACACTGCTCCTAACAGAGGTGACTGGGATCAGTATTGGAAACTACAGAAGCTATATGCAAGCTGCCATCCCTATGCTTTGTGATCTGGCTCCATGGTCAGTTAAACCACAGGTACTGCTAAAGGGGGTGAGTTTGTTTGTACTCCCTCCCCTCCAGCTCTACCTGTGTCCCCAGTATAAGCAGCTTCTCCAGCTGTACAGGCAATGGAGGTGGTGCAAAAGAGGTGGCAAGAGTATGAGCCTTGAGAGGGGGAACAGTTACTTCAGTGCCTGAGGTGCAGAATTGTGGTCATGAAAAGATCTGAGATCTGTAGAGGATCAGTGCTTCAGAGGGCACTGTAGAAAGCTAAATTTAATTAAATAGTTGCATAGTCAGCCTTCACCTGACGCTTGCTCATACATCATGCCGAGTTTAGTAATGATTTTCCTGCATTTTTCAATGCAGAAATTTCTTGAATCATCACTCTTTTCCTGTTGTGCTCTTAAGTTACTTTGCCAGGTGTGGTCATTAATTTCTTCAAACAAGGAAATAAAAAAGAAAATAGTTTGTTTATAACAGTCTCTTGCATACTAAAATAAAAAAAAAGAGTTATTGTAACAAGAACCTAGCCAGTGATCCTTTATCATTGGAGTATGACAAGATTTGCAGACTTGGGAGACAGGCACAATTTGGAACCTAGCTATAAATGGAGGCAAAACATTTTTAACACTACTTAAACATACTTAATGTTCCATTTCCAAAATCTGTACCAATCTGCAGGTATAGACAGAAGATGACAAAGGGAAAGACTGAAGATGCATGACTGCATTTCAAAATTAGTCTGAGGTACAATTTTGAGGGCAATGCTGGGCTGATTTGTGAGGATCTGCAGGTGTGTAAAGCAAATCTGTAATATGAAGTCTTTGGAAGAAAAGCATTGAAACCTAACTGTAGTACCAGAAACACTATCCTGTTAAAAAAAACAACTCTTATTTTGTTTCAAGAGCATTAAAAGTAAGATAAATTCCATGAAATTTTGTAAATAACAAGAAATGTAATTGTTCTTCTGGCATGCTAAGTATTCATTAACAAACTCTGAGGGGAAGAGGAAATTATGCAACCAGACACTGAACTGAACATTTCATCAAACACTTGTATAGAAAAGGTATGGAATAGTTTAGTCTTTGTAACAGTTGTAAGACAATAAAATCACTAACTACTTCTTTCTTATTTCTGATTGGTTTGAGCCCTCCATGAAACAAACAGCATTTTTGATAAATTAATGATAGATTTAGGAGAATAAATTTAACAGCCAGCAGTTGAGTTTGTATGTTTAAAGCTGAAAAGCTTCAGTGGATCACCCTGCAACTCAATTACTGAAAACACTTCTGGATTTTTCATCATTGGTTTGATTTTAAACACAATTCTTCTGTAAAAGTATAATGTGTAACCAGAAGATGACATAATGACAGTATGATTCAGAAACATGTCAGGGAGATGTTAAAGTAGTTGCTAGACCAATGCTGCCAAACAACTTAAAAGTAACTGGTGTAGTTCTGTAAAAAAACCACCTTGGTATTTAATCTACAGTAATTCAGTTGTAGCTAATACTTGATACCTATTCCAGTGTTGAAAACAGAGCAAAGTGCTGTAGGATTTAAGATTGGTTTGTGACAAATCCAGCTCAAGAAGGTGAAACTTTTAACTCAGGCATCATTCACTCCAAGGACTTTAGCATGAGTTCACTAGGAGGGACGTGGCCATATTCTCTTTTTTATGTGAGTTTAAGTAATGTTCATGTATTTACAATCAAACAGACCTTCCATTGCCCATGATGTAACTCATTGACAGCAAAAAAATTATTCATGCTTCTTTTCATATCACACGATGGTGGCAAGAACGAGAGAACATGCTTGTCTAACATTGTTTCAATAGGGGTAAATTCTCTGAAGAGAAAGCATCAGCAACTGAAATGGAAGGTCAGACATTGTCCATTCATTTTCCTTAGTGTAGCTACTGTAATCTTCCGTCAAATGGTAGGAGAATCTTCTCTCTTATGCAGCTATGGCATCTCAGTGACGGGACGTTTCTGTTTCAAAGTGTCAATGAGAGACAAGACTCCTCTTTTTACATTAGTTGTAACTCTTCTGGTCACCGAGTCTGCAGGAGGTGGGGGCGGCCGAACTTTCTGTGAAGGAGGTCTGGCTACTAAGCACTTCTGATACCGTAACTGCAACAAAGCAAAGCCATTCTGCAATCATTACTGCATCAATAACTTCACAGACCATTTCAAATACACTTTTAGTATTTTCTCATTAAATACAGTCAAACCTCTGTTTTGGCTGCGACAAGAAGCCCAGCTGAAGTTAATGGGAAATTGGTCTGTCAATGCTTGGGCAGAAATTGTCCATTAGCACACAACGGATACTAAATCACATAAATACTCATTTGAAAACTGAGAAATAATCTTTCTGGGTTCAGCTACTCTTGAAAAAGGATTATTTTCACTATATTACCACAGGAGTTCATAACATGACTCCAAGTAAAACATTTTTCCAGCATTAGGTGACTTGTGCAGTGAAAGAAAAGATTTCTAATTTACATAGATGTTGCAGAGGTTAGGAGAGAAAATAAAGGGACATTGTTCACTAAGCTGGCACTTCCAACATGAAAACATTTGGATTTTAATTGATTAAATATATAATAATATTAATTCCTATTTTTATCTTTCTTTTCTCTATCATGAAATTAATATAACTGTGAATTTGAAAAAATGATAATTTATGGAGGCAGTGAAAATCTAAAGTACTATTAGAGGCCTTTGAAGAAGGTCACGTACCATACAAGCAGCCTGAACAGCTTCCGATACATTGCCTGCATTTGGTTCACACCAAAAAACATGGCACTCAAAATGCTGGTTTCCTGTGTCCATAATGAAGGCGAACGTGTGGATGTCTTTGCCTACTCCCATGAAGGACAGGAACCGCACACGACACTCCACCATGACCTCCTCTTCATTCTGGTCATGAATCAAAGATCGATCATTACTACTGGATACTCTGTGGAACTTTCAATTTTGATTAAATGAGAAAATACACTGATACAATATAGTAATTCCTTCTTATCTATCTGCATAAACCAAGCATGCTCAGGCCTGGGTTGGATCTCCCCTTCTAGGCTGTCACCAGAAAACTGAGGCTTTGGGCATTACCACAACATTTTAAAATGTTGTGCATTTTAGAAGCTGCTTGTTTTGTGAAGAAACAAAACAATATGGCTAAACATGACTACAAAACATGCTCCCCTACCACTGGTATGTTACAGAGATGCAACATACATCTCTGTATGTTTATTTACATCTCTGTATGTATATTTAGTACCTCATCAAAAGACATATATAAAATACTGCATTAGTAAGTCTCACTGTATTAAACTCCATGGAAAATGCTCTAAATTTTCTTCTGTAACACAGATTTTTATATTACTCTTGGCTTCCATACCAAGAGTAAGTCAAATGCAGTTTGGTGTTTAGGATTGCTACCACTTTGGGCTTAACCTACAGAATTTTAGGCTCAAAATTCCTAGAAAGGAAAACACTGAATTTAAGTATATAATGAATATATATAATAATTTATTTCTGAGAATTTGCTTGGAATGATAAAGAAAACTGAAGCTGATACAAGCAGTAAGAGCCTCTGCAGTTTCTGGAAATAAATAAAATGTAAAATAAGCAAATGAAATTTATTTTAAACCAACCCTACTAGCATTTCTGTGTTCTGGGTTTTCAACACTCATATTATTTTAAGTGTGTTTTAAACAACACAGTCTGCCTTACTCTTTCATTGATGACTGTGACAGTAGCATCAGCAACATTCATGGTAACTGGCAACCAGTCGTCTTTGCTAGAGGAAGCCATTAGACTTTCAATGGCGCTGTTCAGAGTATCCATTCCTAGACCAGAGTAAAATGCAATAGTGAAAAATAATATATATAAAAAAATAACAGATTTTTTTAATCTTCACACAATAGTATAGAAAACAGATTGTTTTGGATTCCTTATTAAAATTAATTTGATCATGGAAGAAAGTACTGTGAAGTTGTATTTCTCCATCTGGAAAGCCAAAACAGGTGCCTCTGGCTTAAAAAAACCAGGATAGTATCACGTTTAGTTTTTGTACCATTTCAGTTCATTAGGGCCCTTCTCATTAGTAGCAAAGCTCATATTCAGAGAAAGCTGTAGAAAAAACCCCACCTTCTTGGCAGCTTCCAGAACCCTGTTTGCAAAACACATGTTCATATGATGCCCTTGAATATTAGATGTCTTCTTGCCTGATTCATGTGACTGAAACAGAAGAATTGCTACCCTTCAAAAATCATGCACTGGCAGTTGATGAGCCATTAGAGTTCAAGCAAGGTACTCTGGAATTCACTGAAGTGTTACATACCCACAGGTTTAGCTACAGGTAGCATGCCCAGGTACTGGACGTGAAACTTCTGTACCAGTTCTGTCTTTGGTGTTGGGAAATCTACTGCATGGGAACAAAAGTCAATTTCTATTAATCAGCATTCACAGCAGGAAAAAGCACTTTCATTTCATCAATAACATAAAACTGTTTACCCATTAATTGTATTCTGAAGGCATTGCATCAATTTAAAGGAATTTTTATTCCTTCTAACAAGAATAAGCCTCAATAATTTCTAAAGGAATCTTTGGTCTATACTAAGAATAAAATCACATTGTATCACTAGCACATTAAAACACAGAAAATGAAGATGAATGGGTCTCTGAGATGTATAGACCTGAGTTTCACTGCAATAACTGTGTAAAATCTATAATGTGTTTTTAATACTATCCTTGCTAGTACGTTAAACACAGTCACACAAAGGCAACTTCCTCCTACCATGCAGTAACATGTGTAAAAGCTGGATGACAGCCCACTTGCAGCCTTGCCTCAGAAGCTGCTAAAATAGATGCTGAAGCCTAAGAGGAATACTCCTATGGCTCTTCTGAATGAGTAACTGGAGTATATTCTGGTTTTAAGGAAGATTTGGATTTGTGCAGTCTCAAGTCAGGAAGTATTTTGATTTGAAAAAGAATATCCTGAGTAGCCACAGGTAAGTTAGACTGTGTTTGCAACACTTGCATTTCAAAATAAAAGATGAAATGCACAAGTTGACATAACTGAGCAGGACTCCATTACTGTAAACATAGCCAGGAAAAAGACTTAAAAGTAACACGGGAACAGATGACAGTCAGATACATTAATTAAAAAGCTGGAATACACTCCTGACTTCTTCACCCAGCATGCTCATTTTGGTCAAAATCTGCATCAGAAAAAAAACTTATCTAAAACAGGACCATCCTGAGGATACTAGCTGTAACACACAGTACCTTGCAGAGGAACATCAAGGGTGACATTTGTCCTGTCTTGCAATGAGCTGCAAGCCATAGCTTTAGCATTCTTCCGTTCAGCCATAATCTTAAGAAGATAGTGATAATACAGCATTTTAAAAAAATTAAATATGTAGTACAGCAACAACTACAAATCTACTTCTATTACAACCCTATTTTTGAAATCTGAAATAAGTCAGAAGATACACGGCTAAGCAGGTTATTCTTTTTAAATAACAACTTTAATTTTACTCCACTTTATTCACCATTCCTTGGCTAGGTAAAGAACTTAAGTGGTGTCCAAGGCTAGATGAAAGAGAGGTTGAGGATGAAAAAAATCTAGTCATGTTTATCAACAGCAAAATTATAGTGAGGAGTAATAGAGCAAGAAACATAAATATGTAACACACATGGCAGAGTGTTCCTTATGCATGTTCCTCTCTGAACTGTCTTCTGCTGGGTAAATATTTTCCTCCATTTTTATGTTTATTCTAGAATTAAAAATCCCATGCAAAATATAACATGTGGCTCCTACAAAATGTGTAGTACTAGCAAAAGAGGAGTAAAGACCCACTTCTAAATAAATATTTTGGATGGTTATTCCCTACAAATATGACTGAGAAAGGATCCTGGGAAGGTAAAAGAAGTTTTCCAAAGCTCATATATGAACCACAGCTATCTGCTTCTTTATGTTACATCTGTTCATTGTAATTAAGCTAAAAAGATACTTGGTCTTAACAGCAGATGACACTTGGTCTGAAAATGCTTCTAGCAAACTTTTCTGCCCCCTCCTTATTTTTTTTTTAGCTTTATATTCTGAAAGTATTTTCAGTTGCAGGGTCACATGAGAATATTCCTGCCCCTCTGATGAAAAATTATACACACTAGCTTAGGAAGAAACCCTGACTTAGTAAGGAGATACAGCATGTCAGCACAAGCCAAGTGCTTCCCTGAATCAGGATTACATCTATTGCTGAATTAACTGTGTTGCTGTTAGCTATGGTTTTAAATGCCTAGGTGTTCTCTTATCCAAAATTAATGTCAGAAGTTTCATGTCAGTTACTTATGTGACAGCTCTGCTCCCTTTCTGATATTCCTGTATAAAACCACCATGGCATTTACTCAATGTAGCAGCAGTGGTAGGGCCTGTCTAGCATATTTTCCCCTGCTACACTTGCTGGAAATACCTGTGTGAACTGGAGAGCTGGAGGAGAACTAGGACAAACATAACAGGTCTCCAGTCAGCCACTGCTGCAGTGCTGGTGTTAAAATTCACCAAGACAGCCTGCTGCTTCTTGGCCAACCTGAGCAGCTCCCCAAGTACTGCTGCTGGCACTCCCTCTGGAGCCCAAACCCACACAAACCTGCCAGGCTTTGCACAGTTGCTGGGCGACCTTCTGCCTCAGGCATAACCCTGCTGCCCAGAGGGCTGCAGTAATGCACACTGTGCAAAGGCTTACGTTGCTTGCGTGAAACACCACAAACAAGTTCAATAACACTTCTTCAGTGTTGCAAAAATGAAAAATTTTTAGACTATACAACTGACTACAGAGGAGGGTTTGGCATCACTGATTCCATTCACTAACATGAAGATAAAATGTAAAAAGCAAATGACAATGATACAGCAGAATTTTAAAATCTGAAGGTTTCCTAACTAGCATTTCTAGAAGAGCTGTGACTTATGAGGACAGACAAGTGACACAGAGATAACTGATAACATTATTCACTCCCACAGCCCACTTTTTATGTGATGCAAACTAGAAAAGGGTTTCAAGTAGATTAGTTTAACTTCCTCTTCATAAAACGTTTCAGATTGCCCACTGTAAAGGAAGTGCTGCGTTGTTACCGCTGCATGAAATGACTGTACAGAGGACACTCATGAACTGATCATCCAAGAAAATCAAAATTAATAACCAGGGAATGGTGTCAAATCTGTAAGGCAGAATGACTGGAAAGAAAAGTCCTCCCCACTATTATGGACAACACTATCAGAGCAGGAACTAAGATCCTTTAGTTTACATAACTAGAGTTCACTACCTTAAACCCCTTCTCCATGACTTTTTAAAATACAGTTAGCAACTATTTTCCTCTGTGTCCTTGAGGATAATACCATTGAATAACCATTCAAACAAGGTCTGATTTATTTATGGAGTTTAACATCATTGTTTATTATGAATCGAACCTCTGTATTCTTTTTCCATTTTGAACCTGCAGCTTCTTTATTATTAAGGAAAGCCTTTGGCCTCTATACCCACTTGTCAAATCAAAAGCACCCATCATCCTCCTCAGATCCAAATGCCCACTCTCCCATAATTCCCATCCATTTGCATCCTTTCCCTTACAAATTCTCTACACTGTTTCTCCTTGCCAGTTATATAAACTAAACTAACACTGCGTACAACTGCTGATTACACGTATAAGGCTGAAGGACCTTTGAACAGACAAATGCAGCTGATTTTAAATCCACTTGCCTTCGAGCAGATTTCGTGTAAACTTGTAGCAATGGCTTTTGCAGGTGTGTCACATCGAAACACATGACATTTCAGGATTCTTGTGTCTTTGTCTCTTGCCACATAAGCAAAGTCTCTGTGTAAACGAGATAGAAGGACACATTAGAAACAAGCAAAACAAATTTGATGACATTAGAATCATCAGTATTTCCAAAACTGCAAATCTACTTTAGTTTAACAGGTATATGCCTGAGCTCTCAAGGCATAATATACAAGCCTTCAACAAAGCGGGTCTACAAATGTAATAAACTGCTTACCCATGAAACAGATATCTAAAGTTTGGTGCTTATTCCATATAATTCAAAAGCTCATTACAGTTTCCTAACCATGCAACTTGCTCAAGTTACAACCCTTAATTCCAAATCCAATTGTAAACAAACAGCAAAATTTACTCAAATACGTTATTGAAGATGAAGTAGAGACAGAATTGCATATTAAGACAGAAAACATATGCAGCTCTTAACTGCTAAAAAAACCCAAGAAACAGCATACAACACTGTAGTCAGAGAAAAATTGTATTTCAAAGGACTGCATAAAGTGTTTAAAATATGCAGATAGTAATTAGAGATCTGGTTGCATAAGGGAGATGTGAACCTGCTGAGCTTTGCTCACACTAATTGCCCTAAATTTCTGACCTTATTTTTTCAGAAGTTAAATAAAGCTGCCCTATAAAAGAGATTTCTGCACTGCACTGGCTAGTTACCACAGCACAGTACAGCTTTCTAGCATGGATGAAGGAAGTGCCATTACTAGGTTTGTTTGTTCTCAGGCTGCTTAAGGGCTGGAGCTCTACCAAAACAGCCAGCAATACATACTGAGCCAGGAAGAAGCCTGACTTTGTCCAGCTGCCATCCTTGCTATTCCCTCTGTTCACTGGTCTTGCACCTCTGCTTTCTCATGTCCTCCATGCAGCCACAGCTCATTCCTGCTTTGTGACCCTCTTGATACCTTCAAATTTCTCTGGCACTTTGCTCCAGCCTCTTATGTCTGAAGTGTCTTTTCAGTGCCTTTCTGCTTTACACATAAATAATTACCAGCAAAGCTCTCAGTGGTGAAGAGATAGGAGGGATATTCCTAAGCCACAGGCCTAGTATAAACTAAATGATTTCTGCATATAAAAGTCAGTAAATATTCTGAGCAGGGTTTAATGTAGCATGGATGGCCAATTTTAAAACTCATTTTAAATGCCCATTGAATTGAAGAATTTTACACTGAAGCTATCCAGGGAGAATCAGAGACTGTGGCAAATGGATTGCTGGCCTTCCTGCTCTGTGCAAGATGCAGACACCGTCCTGCAGTTAAGTACCATACCTGTATCTAATTGAACAGCAGATTTTGCTCTTCACAAGCCCTTGCAATGTAAGGGCTGCTCAGTAAAACGTACAGGTGGTTGCTCCATTTAAGTGCTTTGTAACCTGAAGCCTGATGAATAATATTTTTAAAAACCCAAGCCACACAAAACTATCAGAGCACGAAATCTGAAAGCAATTCCACATGACAGAACCATGCAGAAACACGGTGAAGCTGGAGGCCCCTCTCCATCTCGCTGCATCCCAGCCTGCAATGGCACACAGTAGGGCACAGGAGGGACAGGAGGCAGTGGGGCAGCACGTAGAATGTGCTGCCACCTGAACCCTTCCTGCCAGGACCACCTGGCCCACGCCTCAATTCCACAAGTGCTGCCTCAATACTGCAGTGCTGCATGCAAGGCTTGTGTCCAGCCTCTCCAGCACACAGTCCTGCAGCTTCTGTAAATATTTCTGCTTGTAACGGCATGCAATCACAAACAAGGCTGTGTTACACAATTACAGAAGAAAATGACACACCAGCCAGTACATCAGTTTCAAGTACTGAGAGCTAATAAAACACTCATGGTGGTGTTGCAGACTCACACACTAGTGTTTCACTTTAAGTACCTGAACAGCTTGAACAAAGTAAATCAGCATTCACGGATTGTGAATATACATAAAGTTTCAGATGATCAGGGCCTACATCTACAACAAAGCATGAAATATGAATTCTTCTAAACCTGTGGTACCATATCATACTCAACCCTGCCAGCACCATCTGTTTTCAAATCATCAATCAAAATTAGCACACAAACCATCCTTGCCCCTTCTGGCAGTGCACAGACAGCACCACTGCTGTTATTAATTCATGGAAGCCACCTAGATGCCTGTGTGCTTGCAGCCCAGCAGCCAAGAGCTGGAGCTGGGGAACGGGCTGGTGGCTCCTCCTCTGCCTGCAGGAGCCTTGCAGCCTCGCTTCAGGCATTTCTAGGCATTCGGAAAACAGAGCGAGAAGAAAGGTATGGCATTCTGAGGATTTCAGAGTGTCTGCTTCCTACAGCAACAGTAAAACTAAGGAAAAGTCTTGTGTTTCCCTACACAGGACCACAATGCAACAGCTGCTTTTTTGTCCAAAGCCCTGAATCCCAAGTAAGCCAGAAGACCAGTCTCTGATCCTTTTTCCACTTCAGGTCCCTTCTGGGTTGCTTCATCTATAAACCTGCATTTGACTGCAGCTCACTTGAAGCTGATTAACATTTAAGTGAGATTTATGTGCAATAGGCCCCTGGGATAATGAAGAAGTGCTGAGCAACGTGTTTGTAATAGAAATTTATGGAAAAGGGCAAATGCCTCCTCTTACCACTCCCCTATTTTTACATTCTGCTGGGAAAACAAGTGAAAAAAGACAATGAAAATCTGTTTCAAAGCCCATGGCTTGATAGAGGGCTAGCACAGGGTTAACATCACATCTCATCCAGCTGGATGAGTCTCTGCCTCCATGGGGTGTATGTGCACATGAAATTGGTGGGATCTGGATGACAGCTCCTAGTAAAATTTCATTCCATGTCAGTGGGGAGAATAGCAAGGTGTTTAGTGAGAGAATAATGCTGCAAAAAAAGCTGTATACTCTTGAAATTTTATAACACAGGTGCAACACTTCAACTGATACAGGATTATAGAGAAGAAGTACTGCACAGAAAGTAATTTTAAATTTTTTTAAAGTAATTTTTACACGTACTACACCATCCATTAATAACTTTCCAGTTACAGGAACTGGATATAAATTAGTATTCTAGACAAAGCTAGAAAAACAGAAAAATAGATAAGAATAATTTTGTGCAAGAGTGGGTAAGACTGGTTCTGCTGAACAGTTAAGAATTAAGTAGTAATTTAGTTTGAAAGAATACAGAACCAGAGAAAGACATTTTAAAAAGTAATTTTGAGAGTTGAAAAGAAAATGTAAGGTGCTAAATAAAAGGGAATTTAATTTTTATTTGCTCTTTTACTCTCTCTAATTGGCAAATTTCTACAGTCATTGACTAAACCTTAGATTATCATACCTATTTAACACCTGGCTAAGCATCACTTAGCTGCTCAACCTTGGATGAATATAATCACATTAAAAGCAATTTATGCTAATGCTGTCCTGTTTGAGTAGCAGTTATAACCATTTGCCACTATTAGGCTAAAGTCCTAGGAGGCATCCCAATTAAGTACAGCCTAAAAGAGTAGTACATCCTTCATTACCTTCTCACATTAAACTTATTTCTTCAAAAGACTGTAGAAGAACATAGAATTGAATGAATCCTTTTTTTGCTTTTGGTTAAAAACCCCTAACATCCTAGCCTTAAAGTATGAAATAAAATTTTTTACTCTTCTCAATAAAATTAAATTGCTGCTATTTAAAATACCTACATTAAAATGATACACATGCAGGACAATGTACATTTCTTTCCAGATATATGTATTACAAATAGTAACAAGAATCCTTGAACCAAAAGGGTTTATCTTAAAATTGATTGAAATTCATCCAGAATAGCCTACAGAAGATGATTTCTCTGTCCTGGTGTATAGACTTCTGCAACTGCAGGGTCACAGAACAGATGCCAGGCTGTGGGGAAATACAAAATCTCCCGAGTTTGTAACTTTCAGGCTTCACTTTTCCAGCAAACAGCTCGCCAGAGACTTATGGAAGCAGGAAAAAAAAAGGGGAGGGCAGCCACCACTACAGCAGAGCAGGGTCAGAGGCACCTGGCAGGCGGTTGTCATTCACTGTCCAGACTTGAACGTCCATGGGAGCAGAGGAGGAGAAAAGCAAGAGAAGGGAGATGAGGCACATGATAAAAGCAGGCAGATATAATGTCATCAAGACCACCATCAGGTGGGGCTTTTCCATGACACACAAATATTCTAGTATCATGAATGGCAGAAAAGATGAGGGGCAAGAAACTCTGCAGTAATATGTATGTTAGAAATTACAAATCCTCTGGATTAACATTTCAGGCTTTCTATCCAGACTTCTTATTCACATAGGAGAAAGGAGAATAGCTTATAGCTGAAATAATGTTTCTGGCTCTGTTCAGTTCCCTTGTGTTTTTACTATGGTCACACTGAGGAACCTGCAAAGTTACAGAGAAAAATGCAAAGGTAAGAAAAAAATAAATAGATGAAACAAGCAGTATTCACAAATGCTGCAAAATCTGTTTGTAAAAGATTTACTGAGGACATTTCAACTACCAGATACCAGACAGATACTGAGTGAAACCACTGCTTCCCTTCCACCTGTTCCAAATGAAACTCATAGCCCCTTCTACGGGTGAATATACACCAAACACTTTTGGAATCAAATCCTGGAGGAGGAAGAAAAAGAACTATTCCTAAGAGTCTTCTCATTTCTCTTATACAATAACCACATTTACCCTTCTCAGTGATAAGAGCTGGAAGTGATGTGGGGGAGGAAGAATTTTCCCTGTGTTTCTGTTCAGTGTTCGACTGTTTCTGACAGTTTCTGGAAATCCTAAACACACATAAAGACTTCCATTTTTCTTCACTCCAAGTGCTTCACCTCACAGAGCTCCTCCACCTCTTTAGGTGCTCTCCAGCTACAACCCAGAATGGCACACTTGGCCACCATGACATTATAGTATAACTACTATATTATAGTAGTTAAAATGCCCTCCCCAAAAAGAGATTTTTGGGAGAATTTTCTTATTTCAGTTTTTACACAATTTGAAAATGGATTTCCTTGCAGCAAAACATCAGTTACGCATTTTAATTTAATTTTCTTCTGATGATCTGGCATTGACAGAGTGTAGCTTGTTTTTCTAATTCAAGCATAAAGTTTGTAGGGCAAATTATCCCCTGCTGAAAGGCTGTTTGCTTCATTCCTTGATAATGTCACGTGCTCACTCTGAAGGAGGAGCTATGGCTACTTTGTGTGATACTCAGAGGCTTTAATCTGGCAGCCCTAAAACTCACAGCTGCTGGTTTTTCTTTGATGTCTTATCATTGCCACAGTTCTGTGTGCTTCCAAAATTTGTTACAACCCTCTCAGAGCTGATATGTCTGATACCCAGCTCAGCCCTTCAGAGCCCAGCACTTCCAAGCCTGAAAGCATTTGTGTGACTGTCACTCCAATTTCCTTCCTGCAGCCTGATGCTTAGGCAGCTGCAAAAGCTGGTCCCCCAGAAGGGCTTTCAGTGCTGCCCACCACCTTCTCCTGCGTGGAGGGGACAGGAGTCCTGTCAGCCTCGCCAGCAACTCCTCACTAGCAAGAAAGGTGACTCTGGGATGTCACAACTCATTTACCCCTCTGCTACCAAGGGCTTTCATTCTACTCCTGCAAAGGGCCACACATCTGCATCAAGTGGAGTTATGTCAAAGCACAGTTCTCCAGATGCATGAGCTCTGTTAGCACAGTGACACTACAGATTGTACAGCTTAGATGTATGTCCCAAGCTGGTCCTCATTCCCAGCCTCACCTCACAATCACATGGACAAAGCACCACTACCATGGCCAGGAGGTCAGTCTGTCACACGTGCCACGGCCACCACCAGGGGTGCCCTGGAGAATGTCACATCCAGCTGGTGCTCGGGGCTCAGATGGGGCTTACTGCTCTCATCAACTGCTAGACAGGCATGGCAAACTGAAAAGTCAATCAGTAGCCAGACCTCTCCTTGTTTTATAGACAGATTTAAAAAAAGACAGAACTTCTGGGACAGATCACATGAAAAATCACTGGCCACTGACTCAGTCAATACAAATTTTTCAGGGTGTTTTGTTGTTTTTTTCCTTAATTACTTCACAATACTTTTGAAATGTGCATGGGCAGGGGGCTGCCTTCCTACCCTGTGCAGCAGTTTCTGAAGAAAAGGTACACAAATTAGGTAGTTTGTCAAGGCCATTATAGTTGTTGCTTCTCCCTTGAAGCATTGTAAAGTGGTGGCTTAACTCCTTAGGATGGCCAGTGTGATGAATCCTGAATTTCCCTTAAGTAAATTGATGTGTTACTATGCCTGTGAACCTCTGAACACCCTCTTTGCAGCAGATCCTGTAAATTTGACTTTGACAAATTAGTATTTAGATATTTTTGACAATGCTTCTGTCTTCCAGATCTAATTGGAAGACATGGGCTTTTGTTTAAAATGAATATTTAAAGATTTAATAAAGAAATACATCAAGCTGAGATGCTCAAAGCACTACCATAGATTTAACTGAAGACAGCAGACTACACCAGAATAGTTAATCTCTCCAGTGTGTTTTGTTTTATAAGCAAGGCTTCCTAGTTCTCCTTTGTTCTTTATCATTCAGACAGAGAACACAGCAGTTGTGCACAGACACTACCCACGAATCTGCCCGAAGCACACTTTTGCCAGTGCTAGGCTGGAAGGATCATCGCTCTCCACAGGCATGAAACCTACATTATACTGCAAAACCATAATCAAGAAAGTTCAAATATTTCCCTAAGCCAACACTACCTGAAAAACTGATTAAAAAAAAAGTCAGGCCTGGAAACCATTCTCCATTATATTCCACAAAGCAAACATGAGGAATAGTCTGCATCTCTTAACCACATTCCTTTCACCCAGTCCCACTTTGAAGTTTTTGCAATTTAGAAGAGCAAACAAACCCCAAATCTCATCTGAGGGATGCAATTCTATTGCTAAGAGCCTTTGGAGTGGCTGCAGCCCTTGTGCTGCAAAGCACCTGACTACAATGCCTTACTGTCTGTGCTCCCATGAAACAGGAAGCATTGTAGAGAATTCCAAACGATCCCTTTGTACATCCAAACAAATCAAACATACTAGGGACAACTTTTCTTCAAACTTAAAAGACATGCAAGCAACTCAGACAGACCCAGAACAAATACCAAAAATAGAAAATAAACGTTAACTTTTTAAAATATCGCTAAACTTAGCTCTGAAATCCTTTGTTCTCAGTATTATGTTTTTTCAATTTTTAAAATTAAAGCTGGGATTTTAACACTAGTGTCTTGCATTTCAGATTCCAGAGAACATCATCTGAATTGAATTTAAATCCCAAGATCAGACGCAAATACTAAAACCCACTACATCAAATGATTTTAAACTGTTCTATTATTAGAGGGTTTTGGACCTGAGAAAAAAAACCCAAAACAGACAACAGCCAGTATCAATTGGACAATTCTGTTAACAGAAAATTGAAAAGGTGACAGATATTAATTTATTCGCTGAAGTTGAGCTTCTGTTCACTGATACAAGCAAACCAATACAACATTTTTCAGTGCATGCCGGAAGGATAAACACTAAAATGGAAAAATGAAAATAATTTACCTCTCTCTGAATCCAGGGAAGCATGAAGAAACAGAAAGAGCAAGTTAGAAAGCACTCAAGCAGACAGAGCTCCAGCATATGATAAGGCAGGGTAGCTGAAAAGTGCTGTACATTTAACATACACTGTTTGTTTGTAGCACAGCATATCTAAGTGTATGGCCACTATGTCCCCTTGACACCTTTTTTCACTGAATCTTGTTGCTCTGAAGTTTGTATTTTTGGAAACATGCAGTGAAGCCAACAGGCGTCAGCTGAATTCAGCGAGGCAATGCAGACATATCAACAGTGGGAGGTAATAAACCTTAAAATACCACACACCAGTCTGGGAAGTAGTATGCAGAAAGTATAAATAGACACAGAAAGTGCATGAATCTTCCAAAATAACACTTTCTACAGCAGACACTGACAAAAGAAACGAGAATAATTCTTCAGGTTGTGCAAATGTTACATTGTTTAAACTGAAAGAGTAGAAAGATCATCAGTTTTTTAAATGCCTTTTACAAAAGTTCATGCCCCAGTGTCACTTGGGGTCCTCTGAAAGTTGCACCCTGAAGACGTGGCAGTCTGGGGAACAACCTTCCACAAGCACTGAACTGAAGCCTGATGTATAAAATCACCACACACCTCCATTTCTAAAACACTTCAGCAACCCTGTTGCTAGAGGACACGAGGTATTGAGCGAAGGTCCTCAGGTAATCACACACAGCCGCTTATGTGAGGAGAAAAAAGCCTTTATTGCGGGGTCTTGTCAACTTTTTATAAAGCTTCTCTGACCAGGTGACCCTGATTGGTAGAAGGAACAACCCCTCTCATCCCATTGGTGGGAAAAGAGACAAAATGCTCAGAGCATCTGTGTCTTGTTTTGGGAAAGTAATTCCTTATTTACACAAATAATCCTTGAGCGAGAAAAGGTTCTCAAGACTTTCCCTTGGGAACAGTCAGCGTCTGAGAGCTTGAAAATTCTCTCAGGTTCAGAAATCATGTCTACACAACCTCTAACTCTTGGTATGACTTAACCAACACCCCTTTCCCACAGGTGAAGGCAGACAGGAGAGGCACAAGCTTCCCTGGCTGGGGGCTGCCTTTCTGCCCCTCTTCCAGACCTGCTCTGCCTGTCTCCTGCCCTGGAGGGGGCTTCCTGCAGGTCCTGGCATCTACCACAGCCTGCTGCTTTCCAGGTCATGCCAGGCACCAGGAAAACCCAGCAGGGTGAGCTGGCAGGGACATGTGTGCTTCTGGAGCTCGTCCTGTGAAGAATGCAGTTTCCTGGCATGTTCCCACAAAGGGTTAGCTGGGCTGGGGAAGCAGGTGGGTTGCTGCCTGCTTCTTTGCATCTCTCCTTAAACACTGGCCACCACTCTATGCAAGGCATAGTGTCTCTACAAGGACAATGACTATTCTCAGAGGAGAGCTACTTAGTGCTGCTCTCCCACTCCTGTCTTCTGCATGCACCTCACAACTTCCCTTTTTTAAGGAGGACTTACCTCTAGTGAGCATCTGAGCATGGTTCATGCACTGTGTGCAAGAATGCAAGACCCTACATCATTCCAGCTTGTAACTGACTCTTGGGGAAAAAAAAAGAAGTGGAGTGGAAAAATCACCACAAGGCTAGGATAAAAGACAGCACACTAAAGGGAAGGGATCCAATTCCCATTAGACATGTTATGTCAGCAAGCTTACAGTGACTGATCTGTTGCTCAGAAACGACTTAGTGAGTATATCTGGAATAAACATACATTTTCTAAGGAAGATTTTAGATAAACTGCATATGGTTCCCTAATGCATCCATCCAAAATGGATCTGTATGCATGTAACTAGAGATTTAATTTTTTATCATGTTGAGATGAATCCTGCTGCAACCTGTACCTGCTGTAATTATCTCTATGTAGCTCCCTGTGATGAACAGGAATTTACTGCAACAACCTCTCCCTGGATATATCAGAGCTCCCATCACAGGAGGTTTCACTGGACAGACTATTTCATTTAGGCTCCCTTTCCCATAAATGGCTGGATCAGATGGTCTTTTCATATTCCTTCCAATTTGGGCTGTTTTATGAGTCTATGAAAGCAACCAAGTTGGAAAAATGATGTATATTTACAAATGTAATGGACTTTCCCAGAAATTTTACAACAGAAGCATGAAATTTAGCTTCATTGTAAAGAAGGAACACACGGTGCTCTGCTCCATTCCTGTCATACACTGAACTTGGAGTTTCCCCATTTCAATATCCAGTGGTGATCTGTGTGGATCTCCCCAGCCAAAACCCCACTCATTCCTTTACTTCAGCTACATGAGCTTTCTACTGGGCTTTGCAGAATCAGCAAGCACTTCAGATATTGCTAACATTTTATAAAATAAAGGGTTAAAATTAGATCTCAACATTGCAAATATTGGAAGAATATAAACACCATTGATACTATATGTCAGTCCCAATATGAAAATCAGAATTGAAAAAGTAGTATCACTTTCACTTGCTGAGAAAACACAGTGTTTCTTAGCATGAGAAGTAAAACATATACGATTTTCTTTGTCCACTAATCACTGGCTTTATATGAAGTGGACAAACAGAGATTTCCACCTCTCACAAAAAGCATTATATTGGAGAAACTGTCCTGTAACTTAGACACAACATACTGCGGGGAGGACAGGAAAAGAAATGTCTTAGAGACACAAAACATGACCTGCTGGAGCAAACTCTGAAAGGGAGATCTGTTAATTCCCCGTGGGGCTCTGGCTACCGTGGCATGCATATTAATTGGGGGAGGCTGTCTCCTGCTTCAAACCAGTTAATTACAGCTTTCCAATTAACCCAACAGCTTCTCACGGAGTAATTCTTGTAATTCATCAATTATTTTCATACAAAAGACTATTTTTCTGTATTCTCTTTACATTCTAATAGCTCAAATATGGCTTACTAATTTACCTTTAAACTTAAATAAACAATTTTTAAAAAAAATTGCTCCAAGGCTAAAAAGTAGATACGGAAAGTTTCAGTTCAAGTGGCAGATTTTGTTGATCGCTCTAAGTGCCATAAATGCTGTAAGAACAGCTGTACAAGTGCTTCGGTGTGGTGCCCTACATATCCCTTTCCAAGCTGGCTGAGTTAAAATGGGTCAAGCCAGACCCTGCCAATAACATGGGAAGACAATCCCCAGAAAACTGTGTCAGGGCTGCTACAGATGATCTGAGATTAATTTCTGAGGGGAAAAGGCCAAGACCAAGAAAAATGTTCCATGGCCTTCCAGCCTGCAGTGGTGTGAGAAAGGACCCCCCCCTCCTGGAGCAAACCCAAGAGGACACTGCCTTCCAGGGAAGGTGGGAACAGTCTCTTCCTCCCCATCACTTCTGCAAGGCTCACTTATTGCAGGTTGTTTTCTGATTAGTGTCTTTAGGGACAGAGCTCTGCACTATTGGAAGGGCACCTGCCTCCCTGATCCCTGCTTTCCTCCAGAGTCCCCAAGCCCAGGGATGCAGTAGAGACAAGAGAGTTGTAGAGTGCTGTAACTGATAGGGCACTGCATGAGTACAAGACCATTCCTTCTTTCAGTCCCAGGTTTTGTACATCAATGAGTGATGCAAACTGTATCCTGGGGGCTGATCATTGATGTGCAATGGCCACCTCACAAGCAGAAGGGGGATGGAGATTTCACTGAGAGATGAATAAACACCCTTCAACATGGTGCTCATGAGGCTATACCTGCACTTCTGCATGCAAGTTTGGGCTCACCAATCCATGGAGAGTGACAAACTGGAGTGAGCCTAGCTGTGGGCAACTAAGGCTGTAGGAGCCATGCTTGTTTAGCCTGGAGATCAGGTGGGCTTGTTTAGACTGGGGATGAGGTAATGGAAGATGATCTTATTAATGTCTCCCACTTGCTCATGAGAGGGTTTAAAAAATAGAGCGAACACAAGTTTCTTTGCCAAGAGAGTGGGTAAACCCAGAGATATATACTGTTAGAGGCTGTGCAATCTGTTCTTGGAGCCTTTTAAGTATCAACCTGAAGTGGCTCTGAGGTAGTCCTGAGCCCTGCCCAGGTTTGGGCAGGAGGCTGGTCTAGCTGACCTGTTGCAGTCTGTTCCAGGGCAACTTTATTCCCTGAGTCTGTAACAGAAACACCTCAAAGCACAAAGGTGTGCTGCACTGATGGACATGGTTATGCTGTGTTTACACAGATGACCAGTGTATGGGACTGTCTCAAGAGGGAAGAAGGAAGCTGGCAGGGATGAAACAACATGCCCGAGAGCCTCAGCAGCTCAGGTGCCCCACACATCCATCCCTGTGGCTGGGACAGCAGGACTTGTCCTGCACTCCAAATACCCCACACTTGCTACTGTTGTGTCCTCTACTTCAACAATGGCTACTGTAAGGCTACAATGTGATGGAGAACAAAGCACACCAAGAAACCTCTCAAGTTCTGGTTTTGTCACCTTCAAAAAAGTATTTAAGCATCAAGGTGATTTTCTTATGCTTGGATGACGTTTTAGGGTGGCACTTCACTGCACATAAGCCTGGGAGAGTGTTAGGAAATTCCCTGTACCTGGCAGAGGTCTACAGCCACATTTTTGTGACTGATGCGTTCAGCTAACTTTGTGAAGCTATGGTTAACAATTCACACCCCTTCATTCCTTTAGCTTTCCCTGGAGTCTGGCATACTGCAACTTCCTCAGCTGTCTTTTTAAAGCAGATCAGAAAGAAAAAGAAAGGGCTGCCATGTGTTAACTACACCATAAGGAAATACAAAGGTCTGCCCTCCAACTTCCATGGTCCTTCAATATTTTCACATGGGACTACAGCCACCAGCAGCAGCCCTGACCATCTCTCTTCTTCAGAGATAACAACCAGCTGAAATGTCTTTGCTGTCCATTTCCATAGAATTTTAATGGAGTAAAACATATTTAATTTGATTAAAAATTACAATCCATTGCATGAGCTTTTCATCTTTATTTAGTTACAACTATTTGCCTGAGTGCATCCTCTAAGGCACAGAAGAGGCCCTATTCTGGT